CCCCTGAAGAAAGAAAGAAACGTGTTTGGAACAACATGAAAAATTTTTTGTTTGGAGAAACTATCCATTTAAGGTGTGTCTAAATTTGCTCTGTTTTACACTACTGGTCAGAAGATTAGCATTTTTATAAAATATATTTATGAAAGTCATCTCTCATACTCACCAAGGCTGCATTCATTTGATTTAAAAAAAAATACAGTTATAATGTGAAATATTACAATTTAAATATAACTCTGGTTTCCATTGTAATACATTTTAAAATGTAATTTATTCCTGTGATGACAAAGCTGAATTTTCAGCATCATTAGTCTTCAGTGTCACCTGATCCTTCAGAAATCATTCTAATATGATGAGTTGGTGCCCAAGGAACATTTATTATTATTATCAATGTTGAAAACACTTGTGCTGTTTAATATTTTTCCTCTCCAGGATTCTTTGATGAATAAAACGTTCAAAAGAGCAACAGCTATTTTAAATAGTTATTTTGCAACATTTATTAATTTCATAAATGTCTATACTGTAATTTTTTTAATCAATTTAATGTGCTTTTGCTGGATAAAAGAAATATTTTTTTAATCTTACTAACCCCAACCTTTTGAATGGCGGTATTTCATGATCTCCACAAAAATAAAACAAAATAAAATAAAATATTAAGAAGCAAAAACTGTTTATTCAACGTTGATAATAATAAGAAGAAATGATCTTAGAATGATTCCTGAAGGATCATATGACACTAAAGACTGGAGTAATGATGCTGGAAATGCAGCTTTTTGCTATTACAGGAATAAAGTACATTTTAAATTATTTTCAGTTATAAAACAGTTATTTTAAATTGTAATAATATTTGACAATATTGCTGTTTTACTATTTTATTTTATTTTGTATTAATTTTTTTTAAATAAATGCAGCCTTGGTGAGATCAAGAGACTACTTTCAAAAAGATTTAAAAAATGAATGATTTCAAACTTTTGACCAGTAGTGTAGTGTAGAAGAACCAAACCAAAATTAGGATAGAATTTGAAGCTGGATTTCCTTGCATGTTAAAGGGATAGTTCACTTTGAAATTAATTTTTGATATGTTTTAGCTTACTTTAAGGGCATCCAAGATGTAGGTGTCTTTGTTTCCGCAGTAGTTTCAATTTTGATATTTTTAGGTCAAACCGTTCTTGTCTGTCAGTCATATAATGCAGATCTATGGTCACCACCTCAAAGAGCATGCACAGAGAAGTCCAAACTAAACATGATTTAATGACTCGTAAATGTAAGTACACATTGATGGCCTAAGACACGAAACGAGCGGTTTGTGTGAGAGAACGAACAGTATTTATATCGTTTTTACCTCTTGTAACGCACAGACCGAAGCGCCCGCGCCCTCAGATCACTTGGACGTGGCTGTGTTTACAAGAGGTAAAAACGATATAAATACTTTTCGTTTTCTCACACAAACCGCTCGTTTCGTGTCTTAGGCCATCAATGTGTACATACATTTACGAGTCATTAAATCATGTTTAATTTGGACTTCTCTGTGCATGCTCTTTGAGGTGGTGACCATAGACCTGCATTATATGACTGACAGACAAGAACGGTTTGACCTAAAAATATCAAAATTGAAACTACTGCGGAAACAAAGACACCTACATCTTGGATGGCCTTGAGGTAAGCTAAAACATATCAAAAATTAATTTCAAAGTGAACTATCCCTTTAAACAAAACAGGACCATGAGACTGACCCAGCTTAGACCTTTACTTCAGAAAATGAATAAATAAATAAATAGGTGCATGCAGCATGAGCAGTCTTGAGCAGTAAGAGCCCATTTATATTGCAGCTTTTCAGAAAGACAGGCAGCGGTTTGAGAGATTGTTAACTGGCTGTCGGGAGTGGAGTTTGGGCAGCTCAGCAGAGTGAGAGTAATAGGAAAGGTGTGATGGATGTGGAGACATGGAATGTGATGATGCGCTGCTCCTGCCCTCCACAGCCTCTTACAATAACCGATTCTGAATTCTAGGCAAAACAGCAGAATTCCAGACTGCAGCAGGGAAATCCAGCAATCAACAGACCCACATTTCAACAGGAACCCAGTCTTATTCCCACACACATACGCTGTACAGCGGCTACATTTACTCTACGTTTCTCATTTGATACTTTAACTGAGGCTCTTTTGCCACTCAACAGAAAAAAATGAGCTCGTGAGGGACATTGGAAATTTTTCATTTTCTTGGAATGTGACCAGATGATAAAAAACGTGCAGCTGATGAGGTGTCAAAAGATGTAAACAATGGTGTGTGAAAGAGTGTGTGTCTGCACTGACGGGACGTGTTTTCCTTTACTGGTCCTGTCAAAGTGCGGATTCTTTAGGGCCTCCCATACTGAGAACGCTGTGTAAACAGAATCAGTTTACCCTCTTTTTTTCAGTTTACAGATTTTTCAGGATGGACCATTCACTGAAAGAAATACAGTACAAGCTGGCATTCGGTTTTGGGCAGCTGAACAATCTATTTGTGGTTTTGAAGTGTTTGATTTTGTTGGTACACCATAACACCTTGGATCATTAATATACACATGCTAAATGGAATACTGAAAAAAATATCTCCATTGATGTCAGTTGGTTAATATAGATATTAGACACCTATCCTTCTGCTTAAAGGAATATTCTGTTCAAAACAAGTTAAGATCAGTTGACAGTACTTGTGGCATGATGTTGATTACCACAAGAAAATATTTTGACTGGTCCTTCCTTCCTTTCCCTAATTCTGGGATCCGATGAGGTACTTAGGTTATGCTTTATTTTATAGTGACAATGTTACAGTGTAATTACACAAATATGTACTGAGTAATATTAATTAACTACATGAACTTACTATAGGGTTAAGGATTTGGTTTATGGTTAGTTACTTGAAATAATGTATAATTTACTGTTATAACTATAGGAACTACATGTAACGTGTAACTATGTCACCTTAAAATTAAAGTGTAACTGGTACTTACAATGGAAGTGAATGAAGCCAATCCGCAAATGTTAAATTACGCACTGTTTCAATAGTACAGGCAAGACATACTACAAAATGTGTGTTAAATTATTTTAATGTGAAAACATTGCTTAAATGCCAAAAATGTACAGTGCTTAGCATAAGTGAACACACCCATGCTAAAGTTGACTAAAAAGAGGAATAAAAAATCATCTTTTGGAAATTGATCTTAATGGCTTAATTTAAAAAATGAGGAAAACTCCAATCTTTAAGGACACCAATTTTCTTTGTGAATGAATAATGTATCATAAATAAATAAATGTTCTTCCTTAAAATACAGGGTGCATAAGTCAGGACACCCCTTTGTTAATTTCCCATAGTGGCAGGCAGATTTTTATTTTTAAAGGCCAGTTATTTTATGGATCCAGGATACTATGCATCCTGATAAAGTTCCCTTGGCCTTTTGGAATTAAAATAGCCCCACATCATCACATACCCTTTACCATGCCTAGAGATTGGCATGGGGTGCTTTCCATAAGATTATCTCTCAATGCAAATCGTACCAGCTATTAGGCTAACTGAAATAAAACCATGCCAATCTCTAGGTATGGTGAAGGGTATGTGAGAGCGTGGGGCTATTTTAATTCCAAAAGCCGAGAGGACTTCTTACAATGCATTATTCATTCACAAAGAAAATTGGTGTCCTTAAAGGTTGGAGTTTTCCTCTTTTTTTTTTAATTAAGGCATTAAGATCAATTTCTAAAAGGTGATTTTTATTCCTCTTTTTAGTCAACTTTAGCATGGGTGTGTTCACTTATGCTAAGCACTGTATCTTGTTACGTAATGTTTTTAAGGTAACACTTTATTTTGATACTTCACTTTAGACATTCTTCTAACTATAAGTAACTGTGCAACTACATGTCAACTACCAGCCATTAGAGTATTAGTAGACTGTCTGCTTAATATCTGCTAACAATTTATTTAGATTGTTCACTTTAGACATTCTACTGACTATAAGTAACTTTACAAGTACTGCATTTTTTGTATAAAAGGTGCTAGATTTTTTTACAACTTTGTTATCATGACAATGTAATGCCTAAAACTTAAATGAAAAGAACAACTTTAGAGCTTCTTGTATTAAATGCCGAATATACCTTTAACTCTACAGTATAAAGGCCTACTTTGATGGGTGGCTTAGCAAACCAAGCCGACATCCTGTTGGCAGGTGCTCACTTCAAGGATTAATGTCTCAGGCAATTGTTTCAGCTATTTTGGGGACCTTTTTGGGCCAGATTTACCACTGGACTGTGCTTGGGAGTTCCTAGGGGAAAAGTGTAACATGTATGGGCAGTGACAGGCCAGATAACTCCCTGGTCACCCCCGCCTCAATTCTGGCTCCAACCTTGAGTTTTGTATGCTTTCCATTCAAGGTGAAAGTGCCATTTTCCCTTTCCATGTGGGTCAGATAGACATAGAAATGCTTAGATTTGTGAGTAGCCTTGAACGGTGTAGTGTGCAACCAAATCTAGGAACAGAGCAGGAAATACAGAAGACAAAGGCATATGGAGAACATTACTGTAGTCCAGTGGTTCTCAAATTTTTTTTGGTCATGCCTCCCCTTTAAATCCCCTGCAGTACCTGTGTGCCTTAACCCCCAGTCAGCCGCGCCCCACACTTTGAGAGCCACTTCTGTATCCAAAAAAATTATTGTGCCTTTTGAATCAGTGCACAAGAAAAACAAACCAAGAGGTGGACCAGAGAGAAACCTGGTTCTTTGTACAGCCTGCAAGCACTCATTGTATTGAAGGCTTGCTAAAGTCAACTGAATCTATAAAAACTATCATACTGAATGTCACACTGACTAAAACAGCCATTGACTTTAGTAGAATTACACAATTTTTTTTATGTTAACAACCTTATAACCAGGTCATAATTACAACTACGCATACAAAAGATTAGGGATTTGTTTCTGTAATGCTCTGCTTCCCACCAACTTTGTCTGAATCTCAGCCCTGTATCTGTATTTTTTTTAGGTGTGGGACACTGAACTGGAGCGGAGCGCTGAGGAATGGGCCGAGACCTGCCTGTGGGAACATGGCCCAGCTGGTCTGCTGCCTCAGATTGGTCAGAACCTGGGAGTGCACTGGGGAAGGTCTGATTGTGCTTTGTTGCTTTATTGGCATGTGAGCTTAATAGTCAACACATTGTGATATCTAAACTACTCTATTAAAAACCCTTTAAAAACTAAAAAAAAATCTTTCCCAAACTCTTGAATGGTAGTGTACATGTCAGTCTGAAAATCTTCCTGTCTACGTGGACAGTTCTTTGCTAGAGTAAATTGTGGACAACCAACCCATATGATGTTTTGTCTAAGACCTGGCTATGCTAAGCATGAATTTTAAGTTATTATTAATTATGCTTTTTTAATGTTCACCCCAGGTATCGTCCACCTACTTCTCATGTACAAGCCTGGTATGATGAGGTCAAAGACTACTCGTTCCCATACCCCCAGGAATGTAGCCCTCACTGTCCTTTTAGGTGCAGTGGTCCAGTCTGTACCCACTACACTCAGGTTAGATATAATGACTGGAACATACCTCATAAGCATATCATGTGGGTAATTAGGTGCAAAATAAATTTGACAGATCTGAAAACGATTCTGAAATCGGCAGTGAAGGAATTTTAATACCAATGTAATATGTGCTCTCGTTCTGGTTGTCAACACTTCAGCTGCAGCCTTTTTAAATAGTTTGGAGTTTAACCCTCTGGGGTCTGAGGTGTTTTCGGGGTCCTTGAGATGTTTTGGCATGCTCTGACATTTGTGCATTTTTCAGTTGCTTATAAACATATTAATGGCACAGGTGAAATTACACTCTATATAGCACACACAGGGCTACCATTATATGTGAGCAACATGTATGTACATGTTTGTATTTTTGAGAGAATATTGTTTATGCGTGGTTATTGAAAAAACTAAAAAATAAATTTTCTAATATATGGCCACAAATAACATACTAAATATCTGTCCACAAGACTTTTGACTAGTGGATGTTGTCGCCTAGAGTATTTGCTTCAAATTGATCTGAAAATCATTCTGGCTAATCATTCACATAAAACAATAGATTGTTTTAAATTGTGAAAAACATTTTTTTGTTTGCAAAGGCAATATGCGGATGGGCGGATCGGCCCAACCCCCTCATGAATAATTAGGCAGTTCTCACCTGAGCAGACTGCATACTAATGAGCCTTTCATTCAGGGGTGTCACACAAGAAAGAATGCAAGGACAATATATATATATAAATAAATAAATATTTATATACACACACACACACACACACACACACACACACATATATATATATATATATATATATGTGTGTGTGTGTGTGTGTGTGTGTGTATATAAATATTTATTTATTTATATATATATATATATTGTCCTTGCATTCTTTCTTGTGTGACACCCCTGAATGAAAGGCTCATTATATATATATATATATATATATATATATATATATATATATATATATATATATATATATATATATATATATATATATATATATACATATATATACATATATATATATATATATATATATATATATATATATACATATACATATATATATATATATATATATATATATACAAACAATCAAAATATAAATGAAAGCCAAAAGCACATTTTTAGTCACACATTTTAGCCATCCACATACCATTTTTAGCCATCCACCGCGGTAAAAATAAACCAGTCGCATTTCAAAGTCGTACGCGAAATGACCGCCAGGTGGCGCAAAGGGACATTTAGCAAAACGTAAGTGGGGCTAATGTCTATTAACAGTAGCCTAAGGATGAAATACTACAAGTTATGGTAATTTCCAAATAAGCCTACAACAAATTGTTGGTCATACAGATAAGATATAATCTTTTAAAACTGTAAAAGGTTAAAGTAGGCCTACACTCACAGGCTAAAGACAAAACGTTTTCTCGCTCATGTGAGAATCAAACGTTTGGTTATTTCTCAGTAACAAAATTCATAGCCGAGCGGTAGAACTGATGGTTCATCATCAAGATGACACAGGTTCAAATCCCGCACAAACATGGTCTGCTGTATATTTTATATTTATTATTGCAGAGAGATTTGTCTAGCTCTAAAACTCTGTTACACCATACAGTTTTGTTTTATATAGGCTATATATATTTTTTTATTTATTTATTCCAGGCTCTCACGCCACCCCCCCGATTTCTCACGCTGAAGTGTCAACCCGGTCGGTCAAATTCCTGAAAGATATAGTTTATCTATAGATCTACCTGTTGAGCCACTCGTGATCGACTAGTTATACCGTAAATTAGTTAAAATATCCCGTAATCTATTTAGAGCGAGCGTGCATGCGAGACAGATATTGTGCTCCAAACCGTGCGCGCGCATGGCAGAGAGGTCTGTTCCCTACAACCTAGAGTTTTTAAAAACATGGTTTTAAGTAAAGTGTGATTTGCCAGGGGGGACTGGGATTTCCTTCTGGTCTAAACATCCCTACTTCTGCTGAATTATTTTAATCCCCACACCCCTCCCTCCACAGCTAATCAATGCTATAGGCTACTTCACCAATATCAAATATATAAAATAGAGATATGCAACAGGCACGTTTAAACGAAAAACAATAAAATCAAAACCAGCGTTTCAGTTGTTCATTAGTTCCAGTGGCCTTAATGCATGCACGGCTTTTCAAAATTTCACAAAGCGTGTTGAGATTATTTTGAATGAAATATTGAAGTTTATAATTAAGTGTTTTGGCACACCACGCCGAGTGACCCTATGCATTTTTCTAAAGTCGGGTTTTATTCTGGCATCGTGAGTTAGTGTTCGACAAACGCGGCGGCGCGTTCATTTAGATTAATTTATTTATCTCATTATTACAGCTAAAATAACTTAATAGGCGACTCCGTAATTTTTTGTCATACAGATAAGAGTAGAGTAGCTTACATCGTTCAAAACTGTAAACTTGTATTCATATTAGGCTAACGACAAAAACAGTATATCTGTCCTCTCTGTCTCCGGGAACTGCGCGTCACAAAAATGAACCGAAAGCCACTTCAGCTCAGTCACGATAAGAAATCGGCTATGTCTAAAGCCTTTAAATGTCTAAATATTTAGGCTAATAAATGTTATCTGATTATGTAGGCTAATCCATATGAAAACGAGAGGTACAGAGGATCTACTCAAACATGCGCTTCCCAATGAGAAAATGACAAGACATGGGTGAAAATCTCGCTCTAATTAAATGTAGGCTAAATCGCCCTGAATTAAAATGTAAAAACATAATAATGTATTTGTCGAAATGTTGCGATATTGTTTCATTTAAGTTCATAATTATTCTATAAATGTTATTTAATTTAGCAGCATTACCACGAAGCACCGTGTTTCGATATTTATTTGAATAATACAAAATAAAATAAAAACTTAATTCACAAATTGCATGCCTGGTTGTAAGGATCCAAAGATCCCTGTAGACTTTAATATTAAGTGACAACAAATTCACAAGCGTTTTTTCAGATTATATTTAGTTTTGCTTGGAAAAAGCTGCCCCAAACCAGTTTTATTTCATCAATTATTGAAATAATGAAATATTTAGTAATAAACTTTTATGACAGAAATATCACTAGGCTACATGTAACTTAAATCATTTAATTCCTTCATTATCAACACTGTCTAGAATGGCGATTTAAGTGTGAATTGCGACTTCTCTTTGTGTTAAGTCAGCCTCAGACTCCGATAGCCTGTGGGGGGTTGGAGGGACAGTTGCTGGACAAAGGTGTTAATGTTCCTCTTTCATATGGAGAGTGTCGGATAGCCAGCCTGATGAGCAGGCAAAATTATTGTAAGGATAAATCTGTGTCCAAATGTAGGCCCCATATCTTATTAAATTATAAATATTGTAGTTTATTTATTGTAGCCTATTTAAAGTTTTTTTTTCACACAAAATTTCAATTGAAGTTATTGTAAGGTGAATTCAACAAGGCATGCTGTGTCTTTGAAGCAACAATTAAAGGTTAAATAATTTTTTCGTGATTTGTATGGCTGACACGCAGCGACATATACAGTATTATCAGCTGTATGATGTGTTTTTACCCTGAAATGATTAATTTCGAGAGAGAGACCCGCGCGCGCAGCGAGGGAGACTAAATAAACTTGTTAAAAAGAGATCCAGCGCGAGAGAGGCAAAGAGAAACGCATGTTTTTAATTTAATTATGTTTCTTTGGACAATTTTCGTTTTGTAGGCCTACTGTTTTAATTGTTTAATTTAGCTGTAATTTCTTTGGCAATACAAATTTAAAATGTCGCAAGAATAAGATTAGCCTAGTGTTTCTTATTTTGCATCGCAAAAGAAATAAACTCTAAACAAGATGCAACCCTGTTTTAAATTAAACAATTTAAACCTTGAAATGTTCGAACTTGGTTTCAAACTTAAGTAATTTTAGTGTTCTTTTACATTACACAATAATTTAGCAGACTAAAGACGAGCTTCTTCATTTTCATTTTCTGATCGGCTGACAATCTTCATCAGTTTTTGTCGTTTGTGCAGCGGCTGCGGTTCTACAGGAATGTAGCAAATTTATGTTGTAATGATAATCAAACAAAACTCTTGACTTTAAATAAGTAAACAGATATAAACAGTTACCTATTTAAGCATCAAGGTGGGAAAATATAAACGTAGGACAACATCGGTTAACAACATCTATGCTACATTGAGATTCGATCTCGGGTCTGTTGAAGCTCCTCGAAGCTCGTGTCGTTGCGTTGATCACTGAGCTATCGTCTGTACGCTGTTAAAGTTGTAAAGCCTCGTTCATGTAGCCTAAATGTTTTTATTGCAATGTTTTATGTTGAAATGTTTTCATTATTTATTCAATTACATTTCAGTAGCCTAATTTCAGTATTGTGATTATGAATTATTTTAACTACGTTTCACTTGTTGAATTCTTCTGCTACCAGCTTTCAATCGCTCTGAATCAGCGCGGTGCGGCAGCAGATTACGCATTAGAGAGAATAAACCGGAATAAACGAACACTTTTCAGAGTCTATGATTGTAGCGCCTCTTAGCGGTAAAAGGCAGCAAATACACCACACATTTTACCGCCGCGGTGGAACAGCTGATGTGGGCGTTGTCATGGCTTGCCTCGACATTTGCGTTTGAATAGCGCGCGTCGTCCGTGGGCGTGTCAGATTAACGCGTAATGAAGTGTAATGAGCTGGGGGAAAAAATACTGACAGCACTCTCTTTTCATACAGATTGCATAAACTGAGAATATTTGTTTTTTATATAAATTACTTCATTTAAAAGAAGAGAATTCAAGCTTCATAAAGAAAAACCTCTCGTGCCTGTGTGACAAGTAATCGCGGAGTTACAGTTAATCTTAGGACGCGTTTCAGAATGGACTTCACTGACAGAGAGAACGCAAAACTCGCATCATGTTTGTTTTTCTTTATTTGGTGAAAAGCACAACACTTTGTTTTTATTGTGAGTATCCACAAAAAAAATAGAAACTTAACAGGATCTAATGATGTACAACACTTATATGTAAGATCAAAATTAACAGAGTAATTTGAGTCTCTTTTGCACTGATAAGGAAAAAAGTGAGCTGGTATCGCCGGCGAGACCGCCGACCCCAGAGAGTTAACCAAAGTTTTTTGAGAACACCAGACAGGAGGGCATTAAAGCGTTTCTGTCTGCAACCATTGAACATATGAGTGCCAATATCTGTGTGCCTCTTTGACGGCGATTCTTAGATGTTATAAGGCAGTTGTGAATTTTGAAGTGATTGAACTAAATAGGTTTTAAGATAGAACCTTGAAGAACATCACAAGTTTAGCTGAGCCGCTGTCACGGTTATCTGGACTCATTCATCTTTAGTTTCACTTTCATGGAATTTCAGTTTGTTTTCATCAGTCACATGTGTTCCTTTGTTTGAGTTTTCTCTTCAGTTCTCATGGACACTCATCAGATCATCACACCTGTTCGTCATCTCTGGTTGTCTTGTTGGTTGTTGTTTGTGTGTGCGTGTTACACACACTGTTATGTTGCCTTCCTCTTCATGGAATACCTGAGTTTGTTTTCATTAAAAGACCCTTTTGTTCATTCAAACCTTTGTGAACTCTTCTTCATCCTCATCATCTTCATCGTGTGACAGAACAACCAACCTAAATGGAATATGCTGCACGATCTGGCTCGTGAGAGCCAGGTTTTTTTAACCTGCACTGGACAATTCTGCCTCCTTGCCGTCACCAGCCCCTTTGATGACGAGACCCTGAAGTCATTGTTCTGGATCAGGGCAAATTACCATCACCCCGTAGACCTCCCAGACACCTCTGGAGGCTGATCTGAAGGGACGCTATCATTGACTTCAGTGCCGAGGTATCGTCTCCCACCCTATCCCACCCCATTTCGGATTTTTCATCGCTGTTCCTAGACTGCACTATGGCCTGTATGAACTTTCTTCCTGTTCCCACTGACCCTTCATTGCTGTTTCTAGACAGCAGAGACACCTGCATGGAAAATTTATTGTTACCTTCAACCCTGTCTAGCCATCATCTGCCTCCGTGACCGTCCTGCTCAGCCAGTCCTCCAGCCCCGCCTCTGCTGGAGGTTGTCAGCACTTCGCCATCTCCTGCAATGCCAAGCACTCACATCGAGCCTCAGGTCCTGCAACCACCATCAGCGACTGAACGGATAGATCCAGTAGCTCCGCCTCCGGCCTCAGATTGTCTTGCTCTGTCGACCTGACGGCTCAACCTTGCCCCCTCCCACCTTCGTCCCACCAGCTCCTCCTTGGTCAGTCGTCACTCCTCCTCCACCAAAGACTTGCGGACCTTCCACTACGCTCCGTTCCTCCACCCCTCCACCCCTACAAAAGCGGTTGTACAGCACTTTGGTCAGCAGTGGCTGTTTTAAGTGTGCTCTAGAAATAAAAGTGCGTTGCCTTGCCCTACGGCTGCTCTTTTTAAGGCCCTCTTTCCCTTTGGGTACGCCTCAGTCCTCCATCACACAGGCATCGCCTCAGTCCTCTGGCAATCTGGCTCCTCGTCAGATGATCGTCGCCGCGGCATCACCTAGGCTTTCTGTGCCAGCGATGTCACTCTTCTCCATTGGCTCACCGTCTGCGCCCTGGGATCCATCTGCTCAGTCTCCGTCGGTCGTCCCGGAGGTGAGGTCAGCCTCTACGCCACATTGGCTCCTCCCTGCCTCATCTCCACCGTGGGCTGTCATCGCTGGGCTCTGGGTCTGTGCCGTCGGTCGCCCTTTATTATCACCATCGGGGTCACCATCCCCTCATCATAACCTGTCTCCTTCACTGTGTCATTGCCTCGGCCACCTCCTAAGTCCCCTCCTTGTTTTCATTTAAAGACCCTTTTGTTCATTGAAACCTTTTTGAACTCTCCTTCATCCTCATCATCTTCATCGTGTGACAGCCGCGCCCAAATGGCAACAAAAAAAAACAGTTAAAGCCTACCAAAACTACCAAATGATTAAAGTGTAATTTAAAGTAAAAATTCACCCAAAATTTAAAATCTGTAATTAACACTTTTTTAAGAATCTTCACTCAACTCTTGTCCATACAATGACAATTAATAGCAACCATTATCCTAGTCTGTTAAACTCCAAATAGAAGAATGGACAGTAATACAGTAGACAACCTAAATTCAATATTTTTCTCACACAAAGCTATCTTATGGTTTCAAAAGACTTTATAGTGGGAAAAATAGCAAATCGTATGGATATAAAAGCTACAGACTGCTTGAGGTTATTGTATAGACAAGAGTAACCCATGCAAATAGATTTGAATATAGAACAAATTCAAATTCATTGTGCTGATGATAATGCCTAAGGTCATTAAATGATACCAACCAGATTACTTATAGTCAGATATAAGTGATTGACTGTTTTGCTTCCTTACTTATTCCAGCTTGTTTGGGCAACTAGTAGTCGAATTGGCTGTGCGATCAATGTGTGCTACAACATGAATGTGTGGGGCCAGATTTGGACAAAAGCAGTTTATCTTGTGTGCAACTACTCACCAAAGTGAGTTACTTATTCATTATTCTTCATACATTATTAAATACTGTACTCATTCTCTGTCATTTGTATTATGATAGCTTGTCATTGTTGTCTCTCCTTCTCTGTGTTTTGTTCTGTGTAGAGGTAACTGGTGGGGATATGCCCCATATAAACATGGCACCCCTTGCTCTGCCTGCCCACCTAGCTATGGAGGAGTTTGCAGAGAAAACCTCTGTTATAAAGGTTTGGAGCTTATATTACAGTAGCTTCCAACTTTGCCCATACATACACTACTGTTCAAAAGTTTAGGATCAGTAAAATGTGTTAACATTTAAATTGTTACAAAAAAAGTTATTTTTCAAATGGTAGTGTATATACATTGTGTTTAATTAATCATTTATTGATTTCTTGATGATTAGGATCAGTTTTTCAAATACACCATAACTTGATCCAGGCAAAATGGAAGACTCATTTATTTGTTTCATTTATAGGTGATGGAACAAATAGACAAAGCCCACGTGAGGAAACAGACGAAAGAAATTCTATAGAACCTGAGGCCCCTCATAGTTCTGGACCCCATTTACGGGCCCCAAGTCCTACCAGACGCCCAAATGCAGTTGTGAGCAAAGAGCAGATGTGTAAGCTGTGGTTCACTGATTATACTTTTTAGAGTCATGGGGGAACCACTTTCAGAAATAAAAGTTGTGCTTGAAAAACAATTTCTGTTTCATCTAAAAAATAAAATTTCTGAAAGTGTCTGCACCCAAAAATTGCTGGCTCTTAAACGTATTTCTGTTTAACTCAGATTGTTTTGATGTTCACCAGGCATGGATCTGTCAATTAAATCTTTTTTTTTTTTTTTTTTAACGTATATTTAATGTTGGAAGTGCAGCAGGGAGGTTTTTTTGTTCTCATAATGGTGATCCCCCTGCTGAGTATGTTTGCTTTGGGGACGATGAATACTTGTGGGTTTTAAATTGCTTCCTTTGCTGAAAGGGGGTTTGGACTGAAAGCTGAGATCTCCTGCTGTTGGCCACCATGAACTCCTGCTGGAATTCCACAGCTTGCTTTTACAGAACTGCAGGAACAGAGCTGTACATTTCTGCAGTGCTGCTAAACTATACAGCATGTCTAAACACAAATGAACCACCTGTGTTTCTTTTCTCCTTTGTGCAGCACAGATTGTGACATGTGACACAAAGCTAAGAGACCAGTGTAAAGGCACCACATGTAATAGGTGAGATAAAATATTTCATTTAAATATATATATACCTTAAAACGTCATTTTGGCCATTTTCTTGCCACTATTAATAACAGGTCCTGACTACACACGATCTATGTACCATAATTCTAAAGATCTGTATGCAATATTATCTTTAATTTCTGCAAAGGTACGAGTGTCCTGCTGGTTGTTTAGACAGCATGGCAAAAGTGATTGGAACAGTGTATTATGACATGGTAAGTGTGGCATACAGATGATTTTTTTTTTCAGTTTATCATGTCTTGTGTAGTTCATGCTAACAACATCTTCGCCCTCAGCAATCCAGTATTTGCCGGGCAGGCATTCATTACGGTGTCATTGACAATGATGGAGGCTGGATGGATGTCACAAGACAGGGCAGGAAAGACTTCTTCATCAAATCATACAAAAATGGACTTCAGTCCTTTGGGTGAGCAATCTGTTCAAGATTGAATTACATGCGCATTAGAAACAACTCCATCTAACATAATGAAAATGTTACAGGAAGTACCAGAGTGCCAATGCCTTCACAGTATCCAAAGTGATAAGTAAGTTTTAAATTAGTTTTTCAGTTTTAAATATATATATATATATATATATATATATATATATTACACTCTGCAATACTTAATTTTGATTGGTCAGCTGCAGCATTCAGAGGTAAATTATTTCATATAATGGCTTCGGTCTTAAAATGTTTTTTCAGCGTTATTACTTCACTATCACATGATCCTTCTGAAATCATTTTCATATGCTGATTTGGTGCTCAAGAAAAAAAATCTTATTATTATCAATTTTGTAAACGGTTGTTCTGCTTAATATGTTTGTGGATATATATTCTTTTGATGAACAAAGTTCAAAAGAACAGCATTTATTTGAAATAGAAATCTTTGGTTATTTTATAAATGTCTTTACTGTCACTTTCGATCAATGCATCCTTTCTAAATAAGCCCATACTTTTAAACAGTAGTGTAAATATTTGCTAAGTAGCTGAGTAAGAAGCACAACAATGACCAGCCAGTCAGTTATTACCGCAAAATAAACCCTGACATAAGTGATCAGGACCGCAATGCGAAACGGGGGGTCTTTTATCACCCTGGAAGGGTTTCATAAAGTACCTTTACTATTAATTTCACAATCTTTCCTTTGTTGCAGTAAAAGTTATCACATGTGAGACTACAGTTTCTGTGCTGTGCCCTTACCACAAGCCTGCAAGACACTGTCCTAGGTACAAATCTGTAATGAACCAAACCTCCAGCTGAAATGTTATTTGATCTTAACAGTTTTGAAATAAAACCTCCAAATAGCATTTGAAACTTCATTTGAAAAAAGAAAACTTTCCAACCTGTGCTGTCTTTCCACAAGGATTTACTGTCCTCGCAACTGCCAGCAAGAAAATCCCCACCTTTCTCGAGTCATTGGCACCGGAATTTATTCAGATGTAAGCTTTTTCATTTTTCAAAATCAAATTTAAAGGGACAGTTCACCCAAAAATGAAAATTCTGTCATGATTTACTCACCCTCAAGTTGTTCCAAACCTGTATGAATTTATTTCTTCTGCTGAACACAAAAGAAGATATTTTGACGAATATGGGTAACCAACCAGTCCCAGGGCCCATTATGGAAGTCAAAGGGGCCTATCAACTGCTTGGTTACCAACATTCTTCAAAATATTTTCTTTTGTGTTCATACAAAATTCATACAGATTTGGAACAACATGAGGGTGAGTAAATGATGACAGAATTTTCATTTTGGGGTGAATTATCCCTTTAAAGCACAAAGATTGCTGTCCCACTAAAGACTATGTATTTGTTTTTCAGAAATCTAGTATATGCAGGTCTGCAATTCATGCCGGCGTATTAAGCAACGGGTCAGGTGGTTACATTGACGTGATGCCCACAGACAACAGGAAGCTGTACATTTCCTCATACCAGAATGGCATAGTCTCAGAAAGGTAGGTTTTATCCCCAAACTGGCCCATGTGCACTTGGTGTAAGGCAGAGTATGGGGCAGCCTGTCTCTCCTTAAGCTTTTAAAATCACAGGCCTTTTTTGAGAAAGCTGATTAGGGTAGAGCCGTACCAGTGGTTCCACTCCAAGCGTGATAGAGTAAACTTTGTTAGTCACTTTGAAGGTATGCTTGCTAATGGTAGACAAAATCATGGATGAATGGACATGTGACAATTATGCTACTTCACAATGGCTTGTAATGACAAAATGAACATATCTATCCCACCAAATCAACACCAAGGATTTTTATCATAAACATCTTGCACTAAATAAGCTTTTCACCAAAAGTGGTCATTATGAACACAATTATGTTTAAGGGTTGGGAAGCATTGCTTATTTAACCTCTGTGTCCTCTCACAGCCTGCAGAACCCCGCGGGAGGCAAAGCATTCAGAGTATTTGCAGTTGTTTGAAATTGCGGCCACTCATCAACTTGTTCTGTTGATTAGGCTGTAATAGTGGCCATTGCAAGACCTTTTTTGCTCTAACCAGCCTATACTGTATTTCCTTTCACACAAATGTTGCCTGAACTAAGAATTTGCTGTATAGACTGAGACCCTCTCCAATGCATCAAGCTGATTAGCCATTGTATTACCTAAAAAGCATGTAATTAGAGGATCGACAGGGAATATGGTGTCTGTATTGCAGAGAAAAAGCACTTAATTTAAGTTTTAGTCTTCCATTATTTTCATAAAGAACATTTCAGAGACCATTATACCATATCTACGATATATTTTAGATAGAAACATGTTAAGTTGTCTTGTTATGTTGTCATGTTAATTTTTCCACTGTATTTATATATATATATATATGTGTGTGTGTGTGTGTAAGGGCAAGAAAGGACTGCTGATAAAGTTTTAGGGTTTTTGCTGATTATTTTGATGATAATAAAGAATGTGGATATAATCCTGCAGGGCAGGAGTTTACATCTAAAAACATCCAACAAAATGTTATATGAAACGTCCACATTATTAAACACTGTAAATAGCTTGTTTTGAATAGCTTTGTCTTAATAGTATTAATTGTAATGAGGTGCTGTATTCATATGTGCTGTGTACTGTATCATAAAACAACTTTAATATCATTTAATGTTTTTTATAGGTTACTAAAAAAATCTAGCGTTTATATGATGTCCAAATTAATTTGAGGTGCTTTTTTGTTTGGAATTTTTTTTGGAACTTTACATTTCCTTAAAGTCAAATTGAAACGGAAGTTGCGATAGTCGTTTCTTCCCTATTGTGATGTACTGTATATCTGAGTGAAACTGCTTCTCGAACAAGAAAATAATGTAGGGCAGGACTTAAGTTTGTCAATCGGGAATTAATTGGATCGTTGTGGTTTGTTATTGCTGTAATGTGAGTGACAGGTTGTGCCATCCTTACGCCAGTAAATTGGATTTTCATGGAGGCTTTAATGCAGTGGTTCTCAACTGGTCGGTCACACCCCAAAAATTTGTCGCAGATCTGTTCCAATGGGAAAAAAATCTAACCACATAATTAAGTGAACGCGATTTAACCAAGTACAACATGTCCCGGGATCAACATTCCAATCAACCAATCAAATTTGAGAAACCAGTTGTTAACCACTGTCTTAAAGTGGGGATACATTAGTGAAATTTAATGGTCAAAATGTCCTTTGTCTTTTGTGTAGCAATTTATGAAGCACCGCTCAAAGTCACTTTCCATGTGGAAAGAGAGAAATCTCCAAAACTGTCCAGTGGCGATTGGCACTTTACATAGTCCTCCCCTTACAATGTCTATTATAATGGCCTTGTGTAATGTATGCATATGGTTGTACAAATTATTTGTTTTCTACCTCACATTGTTTAAGAAACATTTTACAATAAACTCAATCAATCTCTTGTATGCCTTTTTAACCGAAAACATAGTGTTTTCAGCTCACAATGGGAATTTTTGTTGTTGTATACACTGGACTAGCACAATGCATGGAATAGAGAAATGATTGAGGCCATCTGTCTGTAACGAAAACCAGATGGAATAATTTTCAGTGTTTACTGCTCTCTCGCCCTCAAAGTAACAGCTGAAACAAATCCCTTATGGATTATAGAATAATTTTATTGAGGAACACACTTCCACATTACTTTCATTCATTCAGGTTGAAAGATGCTGTAGATCTAATTTGGTAGAAGAATTAAATGTCTTCTCAGTAAGAAGGATGGTAAATTTGGGTAAATAACTACTAAACCGGGTGCTATTGAATATTAAACGCCTGCAGACACCTCAAGTTTTCTTTTAAATAACTTGTTTATTAGTTAGAAGTCCACTTTGTCAGTGCTACCTGACTATTTTCAGACGTGCCGCAGTCGCAGCCTGCTGAGCCGTAGAAAGCCAGTATTTATGGCTAATGTCCAAAACATCATTCTCCATCCAGGTCATGTTCCACCTGAATGCCTGCAGTCCAGAAACACAACTCAAGTGTAATTACCAGCCACCACACTGACATCATAACAAAACAGAGTAATGCAGGGTGACTGCCACACTAACATATGTTTATAATATAAAGTGCCACTAACATATAATGACATGATTTCAACACCTTGATAAATAACTTTGCCTGTTTATTGGAGTTAGGTGCCTTTGGATGGAAATCACTCAAAAAAGCAATAACATTGGACATGGAAATATTAGTGTTACCACTGCTTTCTTACATCATAATCAACAAAATGTACACACACACAAAAAAAAACAGATACCCACTTTATTAAAGGAAAATGAAATACGTACATTTATGCTCAATTGCTCTTTTTCAGCTAAGTGAGAACAGACAAAGAACAACCCTGTGAGCATGTCAGAATTATTATGGCCATTGGACCAAATGGAGCTATAGTTGAATGACAATGTTCTATTCTAATGTATTATTGAACATGCATTTAAATGTCTACTGTATAAATTTGCTTGTAAAGTTAAATGTGTGAACAATGCCATATTTATTTACAATCAAATGTTGCTTAGAAGGATTGTGAACAAGCAAATGACTACTCTGTTCATTTGGTGCTATTTCTTTAAATTGGTCTTTATGTATTTGTGGGTTTTATTCCATGTCTATAGCTTTAAAGCCTCTATATATAATGTAGTAAAATGGGCCAAAAATATTGATGACTTATCCTGTACTTTTTGTCCAATCAAAATGTCTCTAGAATAAGAATGCCCGCCCCCACATACCATTTGCAATCAACTAGCACTTAGGTCCATAGCTCTGATGTAATTAAAGCCCATTAAGTGCAACAGACACTTTCTGGAAGTAAAAATACACTGCTCAAAAAAATAAAGGGAACACTTAAACAACACAATGTAACTCCAAGTCAATCACACTTCTGTGAAATCAAACTGTCCACTTAGGAAGCAACACTGATTGACAATCAATTTCACATGCTGTTGTGCAAATGGAATAGACAACAGGTCGAAATTATAGGCAATTAGCAAGACACCCCCAATAAAGGAGTGGTTCTGCAGGTGGTGACCACAGACCACTTCTCAGTTCCTATGCTTTCTGGCTGATGTTTTGGTCACTTTTGTATGCTGGCGGTGCTTTCACTCTAGTAGTAGCATGAGACGGAGTCTACAACCCACACAAGTGGCTCAGGTAGTGCAGCTCATCCAGGATGGCACATCAATGTGAGCTGTGGCAAGAAGGTTTGCTGTGTCTGTCAGCGTAGTGTCCAGAGCATGGAGGCGCTACCAGGAGACAGGCCAGTACATCAGGAGACGTGGAGGAGGCAGTAGGAGGGCAACAACCCAGCAGCAGGACCGCTACCTCAACCTTTGTGCAAGGAGGAGCACTGCCAGAGCCCTGCAAAATGACCTCCAGCAGGCCACAAATGTGCATGTGTCTGCTCAAATGGTCAGAAACAGACTCCATGAGGGTGGTATGAAGGCCCGACGTCCACAGGTGGGGGTTGTGCTTACAGCCCAACACCGTGCAGGACGTTTGGCATTTGCCAGAGAACACCAAGATTGGCAAATTGCTGAAAAGCAGCAGTGCTCTTCACTGATGAAAGCAGGCAGCAGAATGTTCTCCACGGCGTCTCAAGACTCTGACACGTCTGTCACGTGCTTAGAGTGAACCTGCTTTCATCTGTGAAGAGCACAGGGCGCCAGTGGCTAATTTGCCAATCTTGGTGTTCTCTGGCAAATGCCAAACGTCCTGCACGGTGTTGGGCTGTAAGCACAACCCCCACCTGTGGACGTCGGGCCTTCATACCACCCTCATGGAGTCTGTTTCTGACCATTTGAGCAGACACATGCACATTTGTGGCCTGCTGGAGGTCATTTTGCAGGGCTCTGGCAGTGCTCCTCCTGCTCCTCCTTGCACAAAGGTGGAGGTAGCGGTCCTGCTGCTGGGTTGTTGCCCTCCTACTGCCTCCTCCACGTCTCCTGATGTACTGGCCTGTCTCCTGGTAGCGCCTCCATGCTCTGGACACTACGCTGACAGACACAGCAAACCTTCTTGCCACAGCTCACATTGATGTGCCATCCTGGATGAGCTGCACTACCTGAGCCACTTGTGTGGGTTGTAGACTCCGTCTCATGCTACTACTAGAGTGAAAGCACCGCCAGCATACAAAAGTGACCAAAACATCAGCCAGAAAGCATAGGAACTGAGAAGTGGTCTGTGGTCACCACCTGCAGAACCACTCCTTTATTGGGGGTGTCTTGCTAATTGCCTATAATTTCGACCTGTTGTCTATTCCATTTGCACAACAGCATGTGAAATTGATTGTCAATCAGTGTTGCTTCCTAAGTGGACAGTTTGATTTCACAGAAGTGTGATTGACTTGGAGTTACATTGTGTTGTTTAAGTGTTCCCTTTCTTTTTTTGAGCAGTGTACATTTTCTCCATAGAGAAATTATTTTAATGATAACTTATAAACCATTAAAGGGGCTATATGGAACTTTTTCCCCGAAATAAACGTAACAATAGCCTTTTTATTTTATCATTTATGACTTAAACATCTCCTGATGAGCATACTGACACCTTGTCCGCTCACATTGGGTGCACCCATAAGCCTGTATCCTATTTTTCCTATTTTCTGTCGGGTCGGATTTTCCCCGCGCTGTCTGCGGATGTGACGTCAAGCGTGTTCATGTTAAACGTTTCAGATCACTCTGCCACCACCGCTAGTCAGCAAGTAGCCTACACTCGCAAGCAGTGCAATTGCGAATACACAGAAGAGAACCAGGACAACTCGGACACCAACAGTAACTCCACAGAAGACTAAAAAAGTTAAACCCCTGACAAGTGGCCGAAAAAGATCGAAGATTGAGAGCGACCGGCGCCGAGCAAGGCGTGACCCAGAAATGGCTTTTTTTTCCTGAAAAGGTAATACGTGATAAAACTGTTCATTGAAATAGCACTGTTATTTTCAGTTCACTTGTAAATGCTGTTAGTGAAGTGTGCACGTACGAGCGCGCGCTGCGAGAGTGAGCAGAAAGGAAGAGCAGTTCTGCTTTTTTGGCCACAGGTGTCAGTCGCGAGTTTAAATTTCAGAAAAACGCATATAGCCTCCTTTGAGTTCATTGAAATAAAAAAAAATTGAGTTAATACAGGCAACCAGGTAACTTGCTTTTTTAAGTTAAACCAACTTTTTTTTTTCTTTTTTTTTTACAGGAAAAGGGTATTTCTTTCTTTATTTAGACCAAATAAAAGGTCTTCTTTATCTGGTAGATAGTACTTTTCGTCTCACACCAAACTCAAACTTCTCCTATAAGCCCAAACAGAAGGTTGTGCAGTTAATTTGACTAAATAGAGCATAAAGGACTGCCTTTGG